CAAAAGTCTTTAATAAGTTTATCAATTTGTCTTCTCTTTAACTTCATTTATTCTGTCTCAAATCATTAAGATATTGGGGACGATGTCGTAAAAAAAATTTAATTACACTAGAAAAAAAAGAGAAAAGAAATTTTTTGCTACTTCTCTTTCTATTGGTAATAACAAAACAACCAGCCAGTAGTACAAGTATAATAATAAAATGAGGAAAAGAAGCTAGCATGTAAATGCCGTTCTTAATTTTGGAGCCAGTTTTCGAGTAAAGATATATATTTTCATTTTCACTTTAATTGAACACTTTTGTTCATTTGCTACTGTTTGAAATGCGAGATGAGAAGAGTGAACAAAAAAAAAACATACTTGCATATAAATGTGCTCGAGTTGCTCTTCACCATCGCTAATTGTGATTACAAATAGCACACATTTCTTTCTTTCCATAACTTTTTTTTTCTCATATTTCGGTTAGAAAAAGGTACACACGTACAATAAAAAGCTTTATGGCATAAATTTATTAATTTGATATAGAAAAATATCGTGTAATAAACATGCGAGAAATAAAATATCGGACAGAAGTTTTGTTGATAGTAAAAATTGCTTGGAACTCAAGCATTTAAAGAGCATTTTTTTCTAAATGACAATTGAGATTTAAACTGACTTGAATTAGTGAAATTAAGCAAAATTTGGATAACAAAAATTTTGTTTCGTCAGGCTAGGACAAGAACTTCGTATATATTAGATACCAGATTCGGATTTGTCCTTCTGATATCCCAAAAAGTACCATTGAAACAGCAGGTCGCATAAAATAAACTGATGCATGAGCTTATAACTGTTATTCTTGGGAAAATCCCTGGTTTTATAGCCTTTATATAGAAAAATTAAATTGACTTGAGTGACAAAAGAGAAATTTTATGTCATTAATACACAATGATTTACTAATGCGATTATTTACATTAGCTTGTTTACTTATTTTGGGGTATTAAAGTTTAGAAATTTTAATTCTGATTGTTCTTTAATATTTTTCTCCTTTAATTACTATTTAAATCTGTCAACCTCAATTAAGCATGGCCAAACCATCAATTTAGAATTTTCAAGACAAACTGAACATCCATGTTCCAGAAATTCTTGCATTCATTCACTAAAACAGAATATGTGAGAATTTCAATTAATTAAGACCATAATAATGATGATGATGATGATGATGAATGATATTATGTGTGGCAAGCTATTTTAATCTCTATATCACATATATTATACATACATTAGAAAATGAAGTGCTTCATTTAGCGAAAAAGAAGAAGAAAGAAATTCCAGTGTATAACAATAGAACGAATGCATTAATGCCAACACTTTTATTTATCGATGTGCATTGAAAATTAGGTCACAAGGCGTGAAAGAATTTCACGATTGGGCATTATTTTTTGTCTTGTTGCTTAGTAAATTGTTATAGATTAGTCTAAAGCCTTTCTAGGCGTCGGAATGGTTAATGAAACAGCACAGGAATTAATGTTATGTGAAATGAAGTATAAAAGAGATTTCTTCGCCGTTGCCATGAGCGTGGATAGTTAATGAGAATGGAAGGTATAGGAAAGTGATGAATGAAGGAACTACGAAGCGCATTCTGTGAGCTCAGTTTGTAATGATTGTTAATGTAAATTTTGAGAACTTCAGACCTCACTCAAAATTTTCCAATGACATAGATTCAAAACTAAGCAATCAATGCCAAATTTGTTATCTAAAGGCATCAGGAAGCTAGTAATTATGTCAAAATGACTAAGGCATTTCAAAAGCTACACACAAAATTTATGCTCTGACAAGAAGATTGATTTCACTTAAGTAAACTGTACAAAACATTGTCAAGGTCGTTGTAAACAGTGTAAGACTTAATACTTTCATTGAACGTAAATTTTAACTGTTAAGTGGACGATGCCTTTTTAATTTATCCATAATTATAATTTTCACTATCAAATCTCTATTTCAATTAAATTGATGCACTATAATTTTCTTCTACTTCTTGTCTTCAATTTCTGTATATGCTTGTACGTATATACACATAAATGACGGGTTTATTGATGAATCTGATGATGATGATCATGAGAATTCCCCTTTAAAATATTAGTATGAGTAAAGCTAAACAAGCTATAGTGCAAATTGAGGTTAATTTGCGTGCGCTTTTTACGCATTTATTAAATTAATTAAATGATGACCTTGAAGACTCTAAATGGGCTAATGATTTGGTACTTCCTTTAAAATACATTAGCGTCACTACATTCTAAAATCTACTTGATGATACGCTCATGTGTAATCAAAAACTATCTTTTATACACACTCAAAAAAAAAAAAAAATTGCGAATTTAAAATGAATCGAGGACGTGACGAAATGGGAAACTTTTTGTTTTGTTTCTTACGTGCTTTCTCATTCATTTTGATTATATTTTTAGTACATACAAAAACAGAGTTTTTAAGAATATCATGTCATGTCATGTTAAATGAATTGTTCTCTATATAATTTTATATTCACATTTTTTTTTCGGACACAACACACTCATTATGTTAGAAATTAATAAATGTTAATTTCTTTGATTGTCCGAGGTAAATTTTCACTTCTTTCGTTTCGGGGGGATCTTTTAACAATTGATGTCTAAGCTTATTCCTCCTGGGTGAAACCCTGAGTTGGTATCCTAGCGACCTTGTTGATATATTTATTGACTTCACCAGATAGAAATACTGTACATTTTGGCCTTTACTGACTGCACCTTCTTAATTCTCAATTCCTCGAATGTTTGACATCATCCATGATCGACTCCACCAAAGAAATCTAATAACATCAAGTCTTAAAGATCTTGTTTGATTACTCATAAAAATTATTAGGTTGAATGAAATGACTAATCGATTAAGGAATAGCCTAAGAGAGAATGGACAGGTTTAATGATGATGATAATGAACGATTATGCAAATTGCTTTTGAGATGTATTTTTAGATATATCTTTTAGACTTAAACAGCAAGAGATGACAAATCTGAAATGCCTCACTGCTGAAGTAGTTCTATCTTATGTCTTTTGTACATACACGCATAACTTGTAAATGGTTGAAAGAGAGGAGAAAATAAGAATTTCTTTAGCAGTGACTCTATTTATAGACTTATAAGATATTAAAATTCCTATGAGGCAATGACTGACTGACTGATTGTGCTGGTTTTTTTTCTATTCATTTTATTAGATCTTCTACTTATGTGTTAAGTGATATCAATATTAAATGCAAAATGCCATTTACTTTATAATATTTCTTTCCATCTCCTTTTTACTAATCGGCCTGATTGAAAAATTGCGGACAGTTATATTTGCATTTCTTTGCTCTAAGATATTTACTTTTAATCTTTCATGTCTTTGTTGCGTGAATGGAAAAGAGAGAAAAAAATCAACTTGATGAGCATTAAAATTCATTTACAAGCTTTATTTAAATGCAAATGATTTGATATTTAATGAAAATTAATGGGGATCTTCACTAGTTCTGGAGATGTGTTGGGGATTTTTGCTATTTATTGAGAAATTGCTTTGAATCATCTGCAAGGAGGAAAATCCAGGATGAGGTTTGATAAACGATTGATTTTTTTGAATAAGAGAATTATCCAAACTATGTGTTGTGACACTCTTGTGTCGTGAACTCCCACTTAAGAGAAAAACGTCAAATTTCCATCGCATTAGAAAATTTTTGTGGCTTAGCCTCTGTTAACAATCTTAAATACGATCAATAATTTAACTAGCAAACCTCAACACCTTAGCCAAAATTTATTGCGGTTTCATCCTTGCGGCGAGGAATGAATAAATGTGTTGGATTCACAATTTTTGGCAGCTCTAACGAGCTCATTAAATCAAAGACATAAAATAGTAATAAAATGGCTGTGAAGAAGATAACAAGGAGGCAATAAGGAAAGTTTTACTCGATTCATTTATGTTGAAAGATATTTTTATTATCTTCATGTGCATTTGCGAACCACAAATCGTGCAAAAATATAATCTCGTTAACTTCATTATAATGATTTTTTTTTGTGGTACTCAAAGTTTATTCTTCAATTTCTTACTTATTAAATTGAGTGCAAGTAAAGTAATAAAGGAGGAGGAAGAAAATGAAACATAATGATTTCACGATTATAAACGTACCAGCTTATGAGTATGAGCGCATGAGTTCGCAATTATTTTGATATAAAAATAAAAAAATTATGTTCTTGTTCAAAACTATGGTAGATAACGTGGTAAAAAGTTTCTATTGCTGCAATTATGGAAATGGAAAAATCAAATTAAAATGTTTAACATTTTTTGGGAGGTTTGCTTTTCAATTTTCTGCTCCTGGTTGAATGTTTCCATAGTTTCAACTCAATTTTAATTACTCTGTGGTTATGTACTTTGTAGAATTGGTTGCTATAGTGACAATTCACTTATTCTCTTATTGTCTGCATCTCAACTTTGTAAATTTAAAAGGTTTAAAGACTTAAAACTGAATAATTGGATTTTTAAATTAATTTTTTTATGTTCCTTGTTAGAACCTGTTTAATTACGAGAAAATTATAACCAGAATGTGTGTGGTCGACTGATTGAAATTATGTCCCAAAAATTGTTTAAATGTTCAATTGAATCTTTTGAAGATGCAAAAATTCAATTTGCAATCACCAAACAACCAATTATTGTGCATGCATGAAAAAATCAATTTCTCAAAACCTTGTTCAAGAAAATTAAATCAATTTACTCAAACACTAAAATTTTCAACTTTTAATCGCTGATCACTTAAGATAAATGCTCATTATTAGTAGCTTTGGGCAAACTTTTATATTTACAAGAAGGGGTGTCACATCCACATAATTGCCCAATTGTCGATGAGTGATAATATATTCTTATCGTAAATAATTTTATATGAGAGGGACTGACAAAATTAACGCCTTAAAAATTATATTAAATCTGTTTTATGAGCATTAAAACTAATGACGCTTCATTATCTCTTCTTATTTACAGGACATTTTAAGTAATAGCGTTGTAGCTGTATGGTTGGAAGTACGACCACGATATTTGATACCTGACACAAACTGCTTCATAGATGATTTGGAATTGATAAAGGCAATTGCTAATGCGCATCCGTTGTACCAGTTGATGATACCTATCGTTGGTAAGTTGAAAAGTTTTCAGAATTGCTTCGCTTTTTTTTTGTGTTGTGTACAGTTTTTAAGGTACGATTATCATGTCGACATGAATTTAAGCACACAATGAAAATGAATAATGACAAACATTGTCGTTACTCTGGCCTCATAATGCTGTTTCTCCTCCTTCGTACAAGATAGTAGATTACAACAATGTTTTACAATGTAGAATATCTCTCTCTGTTATTGCAACTATTTTTTTTTATAAATGTATATATTGACACAAATAGCCTAACCATGCATCCATGTCTGTTATACATATTTGCTGTATCATCATCATATTCGTGATCTCTATTCTTCGTACATACGAGATTTCTTCCTCCTCAAATTCATTTCTCTTCGTTTCATACAATTTTTCTTACGTTATCTATCTATTAAGTAAATACTCAACATGCCTGACCAGACTAGCTACATCTCTTCTTCCTTTTATACATATTTAAATATAGTGATTTAAATATTCCTTGCAACGGCAATACATTCTTTACAAAAAAATAATAATATTATTATGGCTTTATAAAGATTATCGTCTTTATAGTCTTTTATTTTTAAATACCTTGTAAAAACTTGTCATTTGCATAAAATTATCAAAAAGAATTTTTTTCCCTCTCTTTTTGTGCCGACAATCGATGTGATGAAAACAGTTCTAGCAGGTTTTTAATGTGTAAAGCGCATTTTTCTTTGATTTCCCGATCTGATTCTTTACTTTTATTCAGTTAAATACTCGTTTTCAGTTCCTAACACCAAAAATAGTTTATTGAGTAATAAAATGACTATTAAAAGCTCACTTTATGCCTAATTTTATCTAAATATCCATTAAATCTCTTAAAACTGCAATCTTATCCTTGCAAAAATTATTCAAATTTAATGCCAATCTTGACATTCCTTTATCAAATCATCCGACAAGCTACCTCACATCTCATCAACACCTGTTGATGTACCGCTAAAAATTGACATTTATAGCTGTCGCAATTATCAACTCCGTAAATGTGAGAGATGAAGAAGTAGAAGAAGAAGAAAAAGCATTAAAAATTATTGACTAAAATATGTGAATACTCATTAAATGGCATTAATGTACTACAGAAGTCATGAGTGAAGCAATGAAGTGCCAATATTTGCGTGTTCTTATCTATAAACGCTTGACAGACGATGATGATGATGCTGTGAAGTTGCATGACAAAAGCTATTTTCACACATGACGTGCTGTGTTGTCTGTTCTTGTATGTTTCATACTTACTTAAATAAATGACTGATAAAGAAATGTAATGATGACTTTGAGGAATCGGATTGGAATTTGTGTAGCGTTAGACTGGAAGATATTGCGTTTAGCGCGTTTTTATGGAGGATAATAAGTTGAAATGACTTGATTCTTGAGGTTTTGTAGCATTAACCTATTGCAATCTTGTCATCACATTCAAAATGCACTTTAAATTCCCATATCGAAGTTATGTCAAATGACTCCTCAACTTGACATCTCTCATTCTCATTACTAAGCAAGAGCGTACAATTAATCAGGTGGCAATAAAAAGTACAATAAATATTGCATTAGTTATCATAAATTACTGTCCATCATCATCCAAGTATGAGAATGAGAATTGTTTATCCATAAATTGTGTCACGATAATATGTGCTACCTGTCCAATCAGCAGCATCTGAACAAAAAAGCAATATATTTGTTTATTGTACTGAGTCAACAGATTTTTATGATGTCCATTCGTCAGCTTTATGCACCTTCTCGGATGTAATGTGAAAAAAATAACAATAAAAAAATCTTCTCGCTAAAAATAATGCGAAATGACTGAAAACGGCATAAAATGTCCTTTGATTGCTGATGCTGCAACAAAAAAAAATTAAATAAAACAATCTTCATGTTTCTCTGGGCGCACGTATAGGATTGAAGTTCAGTTTGTGTATATATGGAGAGAATGGGAGATTAATTGAATAAAATTATATGCAATTAAAGTTTATAGCCTTTAAATGTGATAGCGGCAGGAAATGTAGTGGAACAATTGCTGCAGTGAAGCTCATACTCAAGTTGATCGAAATTTCTGCTTTTTTTGGGTTATTAAGTGCAGTAACCTCTCCCCCTATCATACCCTTAGTTCTTCTCCAAAAACATAAAGTTATTAATCACATTGTTCAAATTAAAACAATTGCATGTACAGAATGCATAGTGGGATTATTTCCTTGTTCTTATTATTCATTTGTCCACAGGCGTTCAAATTTAAAATTTCTTTATCAAAAAAAGATTTTAATTAGTTTTTTATTTGTAAGTCTTGCTTTGATGTTTTATTTTGATAAAGGATCATGAATTTCGAAAAATATTGAACTCATTTGCTGTTACTAAACTTCCTTATTGCATTTTTTGTTGTTCAATATTTCATAATTGCCACAGAGATCAAAAGAATGGCCTGGGAATGAAATGAACTCTTTTTGGAGTTTTTGTGTGGGTGGAATTGAGAATTCATTTGAATTTGTTGTCAGGTCAGTAATCATACAACTAAACAGAGCTATATTGCTAAAGTTCAGTTCGTGTTTGAAATCAATTTACTCGTCCGATTGCTTCAAAGCGTCAAAACAGCCTTTTCATTACTAGATCAAATTGCAGATGGAATATAATTCCACATCAAATTGTAACAGAAGTCCCTCCACTATCCACATACTATATAAACTATAGACATGAATGAAGCATGATGATTATTATATTTTGTTTATCTTTCTGCTCGGAGCATTTCGCACATTTGCTTTACACGAAGCTTATCTCGTAGGCCGTCAGAGTGTTGCTTAATTATGATGCATGATGATTGAAATAAATATTATTAAATAATTCTTGGAATCTTTATTATCCTTCTACAATGTTGTATTAAAAATCAATTTTAATTACAGTTATTAATGAACTCGAAGGATTGAGTCGAGGTATTGTGAAACCATTGACATCATCTGTCGTTATGACTTCGGCATTGTGTGAAAAATTGGAGAAGAACTCGATGCATAATAACAACAATATTAAATCGGGAAGTCGTAGTGATCCACAGCACGTTGCTATGGTTACGCAGGCGTGCAAAAATGCTTTAACATTTTTGAAATTAAAGAGTCCTGCTGTGAAGTGAGTAGTAGCTGTTGATTATGAAAAGAGATGAAAATATTATTTTTAATTAATTTTTTTTTGCTCACACGAGAGTTTGTGTATGTCAAGGGAATGCAACTTAGGACATAATATATAAGTTACTTGCTATTAAGTCAAATTATAATTGTACATAGTTTCATCACCTAGACATAACATCCTAAGTAATATAATACATAATGATATTAATATAAAAAATTTTAATTACCAATAAAGGTGCGTGACAACAAAAGGATCGATCATTAATGCAGCTATATTTACCAGCGAAGACAGTCAAAATGAGCAGAAATCAAATGATGATAAAATTCTCGATACAGCATTAAGTTTATGTAAGAAGAATGTTGAACAGAAACAAGGTAAATTATGATACTTACTAATTGCCACTTAATGAAACTTAATTGTGCCTTTTTTCTTTGTTCTCTTCATATCATATGATACAGGTGATGTGAGATATATTATCCGTGAAGTTGTACTTTTATCGAGCGATCGTAATTTGCGTGTGAAAGCACTAACGAATGATATTCCTGTACGTGAATTGCCCGACTTTGTGCGATGGGCAGGACTTAGCAGTGATCTTTAAAAGAACGACAAACAACAAAAATTATTGATTTTTAAAAAATTAGCAACTTTTTCCCAGAAATTTTTCATTCGTTGTTAAGTTTTTCCTTATATCTCCCCATCTCCCCCCCCCCCCCCATATTATTCAAAACAAAATATTGAACATTATTCGGTGTGTATGTTGTAAATAATAATTGAAAAATTTGTGTGATTGTAAAAATCAAGTTAATAATTCTTACAGAATTCTCCTTTTTTACATTAATTACTTACTTTATTCTATCTTTAAAGCACACATACAAAATCTGACTATAATGAAATGTTATGAATCAATTACTGTTTACTCTACGTAATGTAAAATTTTTATAGCTTAATTGACTATTTCCTTAACATAATATCACATTTATATACTTTTTATCCTTCGGAATATATTTTACACTTTTTTATACTTCTTATGGTTCTATTTCGTATACAATATTATTAATGGTTCTAAAATATAAATTTGTATATCATCAAAAAATGTGTACTTGATTTTTGTTATGGTCGTAATTTACGTATGATTTTTAAAATCGAATTTTGGTCGTTGATTGAACTTTCTTTGGAGTTTTATTATCTCAAAAAATGTGTAAAATTGTAGAATTTGTTTTGTCTTTTATTAAATGATGCAGTTGAAGTGTCTTTTGGGTAGTAAATTTCCAGGAATTTCCATTTATGACTTCACTTTTGTATGAAATTGAGGAATGATTAGCCATTCCTAAATTTCACCAAAAGTTTTACTTCTTCATAAGAACAATTAATGTAATTTGAATGAATAATGTTCATCATTTATAGCATAGCCTTGTTTTTATCATACGAATTACTTTTTTCACATAAGCAACACAAAACCATTTAGGTACATAAATATAATTAATTAGAAATTGATTTCCTTAAAGTTATAATAATATGAAAGAAATTAGATAAAAGCTTAGGAAAAAAAACATGAAAAAAGTTATTTCTTTAATTCAAACGTATTGATTGCGACTTGCTAATTGTTATCAAAAAGCTAATTTATGGTTGTCGATATTTTATTATTGTAAAAAAAAATAAATGAGTCGGACTAGTTGTTAATGCATGGCAACCTAAAAAGAAATAAATGAAAAGCTTTTTACAACAATTTTAAGTTCCAAAAGTATTGCTGTTGAGAATATTCAGTAAATTGCCAAGCTTATACTTTTATTGTGAGAATGTTTGAAAAATAGAGAAAATAAGAAGCTTATGAAAACGCCAATACTTGAGATGAAAATGCTCCATTCCTAAACGAGGAAATTTTCCATCTCTCAATGCCAACATTTTCTCATAAATTCAAATCTTTTCCCATCCTATATATTGCAAATGCAAACAATACTTTCATACACAATGGAATTAAAGTTGCATCCTTAGTAATTAATAGCGCAAAAATCATGTTGCTGATGGGGAGTGCATAAGCTTATTTGCACTTCTACATCTTGAATTAATTAAGAAATTGAAAAAATGATAAAAAAATTTATTTTCAATAAAATGAAAAAAAAAACTGAAAAATTTTCAAGTTTAAAATTTTGTGGTCTTTTTTATTCTTTTACTAGCAGGAAAGCATCAAATGGTTAAAAAAAAAATGTTCTTTACAACTTGCAACAATCAGTTTTTTAATTGATATCCATCAAAGTTTGTTGCTCTTTCCTTAAAATAATTAACTCATCCAAAAACAATCCCTAACCTCGATTCTCATCATTCGCAATCACATAAACTGTCATTAATCCTTTTCGGGGCGCCGCTACTAATGATTGGGTATCTCGTTAAAAAAATTCTCAAAAATTATTCGTCATTTTGGACTCAATCAACGTTGCTCATCAAATATAGGCAATAGGAATTAAACTAAAAGTTATAATTGAAGATTTTTGATGATGATGAATTAGGAATGTCAGATGAGCATGTTGTTATTCAGAATTTGTAAGCATCCTCCTTTGTTTTAATAATTTAAATCCGGCGCAGATCATGTAAAGTGCAAATTATATTGAATAATAATTTTGAAATGACTTAATACAAATAGGATATCGAAATAATATTGTATCAGCGTTCTTGAAGAAGCAGCATAGATCACCAATTGATGAGTCTTTAATGACTTTATTTGAATAGATTCGATAAAGTTTTAACATTTTATTCACTGTAATTAGACACAGAGAAGTGACGACGACGTTGTAGGACTTAGGTTGCTTTGCTTTCATAGGAATGCTTTGTGTGGTTAAAAAGTTTGAAGGTTAAGGCTGAAAATGACTGAAAAAAGCAACATATACTGTCCTCAACTCATTAAACTTCCAATAATACTATTCAATACTTTCTGAATTAAACCCACTAAGTTGCTTCACAATTAAAACAAAAATGATAGATAACGACATTACAAATAAAAGAAAAAGAAGAAGAAGTAGGAAGAAAATTGACATATTGAAGGTTATTCACTACGATAAAATAGTGGACATATGTCATTGAATTATTGAATGTTTGTGTAGAATCGATCAATCTTGCGCAAAAAAAGTTCTTTCACAATCACCTCCAATTAAAAGAACAAACAGCACACAATGACGGTAAATAATGTGGAATTTAAGACAGAAAGGTTTGTTCAACTCGAGCATGGGTGAATCTTATTTTATGTATGGAATATATAAAAGCAGAGCATGACACGATGTAAGTAAGAAGAGGACAAGTTGACTCTGAATTATTTTGCACACAATTCAACATTAAAAAATAAGAGAGAAGAAAGAATCATTTGCGAGTTAAAGAAGATTATAGCGATCAATTTTCCATTCCACAGGCTTTATTTCTTCTACTTCTATGCAACCAATTATTATTATGTGAGGATAACATGCAAAAAAATGGACACAAGAGGATGAAAAGCGAAAACTATGCAAAACGACCTGCACTCAACTCTTTTGCATAGATTACAGAATAAATAATGCCGATTGAAATCCCTCCTCATCATGCTTTCATTCTGTAGTTTCAATTTCAGCAATTGTACATTACACTGAATATCTATGTTTAAAGTTCTTTTTAGCATATTTGTTTTGTGGAAATAATCAATGTTTCTGGACAATCACATTGTCTGGAGATATTCAATATAGAGCTTTAAAGTCGAGGAGAGTGACTGGTAGCATTTAACGAAAACTGCACCTAGGATAACATCCAGAAAAGATCCAGATAATGTTCAGTTACTTTTACCGTTCCCCCATTTCTGCAATTGCAAAAATATGACAGAAATCCCACACAATCCAAACTTGCTAAAATTCTTACTTTATCTGACCGTCAGCAGGTACATAAAGTGCGCTAAATTTACAGCCAAACCATAACATAATTCACCGACTTAAAAAAACATGTAAACGAACAGTACAAAGCAGAAAAATATATTCAATACTGAAATAAAAATCTTCTAGCGATGAAAACTTATATCAACGACTACATTGCAATGTAAAATATTGAACTATAATTAAAGGAGAAAAAATTATTCTTCTATGTTTTATGTTGCGCGAATCGAGTGAGATACGAATGAAATAGAGAGCGATAGAACGCAGTCAAACGTAAGTTCAAGGCCGTGGTGAGAAAAAAAAAAGTAAAAGAAATGGTTGAAGTGAGTGCCTGCTTACATTTCTGTACGATTTCATTTTCTGCTTCGCTATTCAAGAAATATTTCTGTGCTGTAAATGAATTCCAAAAATACTAGCTAATTGACAGCAAGAGGTAATTAAATGTCTAAACATGACGATGCGTACATTCGTCTTACTACTTTGTGACATTTCTCGACCTAAACCTGGAAATACAATTTTTTTTGTCGACCTGATTTCCGATTCACATCAATTTTAGCTTCATTTTTGGTGATGAATAGAGCTTTAGAAGTTTACAGAATGTCTGATAATTGTGCAAATGCGATGATATTAATAGCATGTTGAATTATATTCAGACTGTAGATGCATTGAGATATCGTGGTCGCCCGAAGATTCATGAGAGTTAAGGATACAATGTTGCACTTGGAATTGTGACTTATCAGCGGTAGCTATCGAAAGAAACAGCAGCAGACAACAACTGAGATCGGTTTTGTATTAAAGTTGATCTCTCCGTGCAATGCAATAAGTATTGTAGAGGATTGTTGGATAGGTCGTGTGATATATTTTTACTGAGTCGATAGACACTTGGTATTGGTAATTTGCTAGCGTTATAGAAAGCTACAAATGTTATTTAAGGCATGGATCACAATCAGTTTTGTCATTTTTTGAACAAACGCACAGATTTTGTAAATGTTTCCCAAGTAATTGGAACTAAGGGCCAGTTTTTTAAGTTTACGAGTCACAATGCGCCTTACAAATCAGCTAATAACTCATATGACTCCAGTTCTTCTCACATACTCTTCACTGTCATTTATCAGAATCTTCACACACGTATTGAGACCCATCGCATTGTACTCTATAGACATGTGTGTTCAAAATTGCGACAAAAGAATTTGATTAGATAAAAAAACGAGTTTTCTATTGAAGTCGTCATGTCTACTTCCAATACGAGCAAGTTTGACAGTCTATTGCAATTCCATCGTGATTGATGCGTTAGTGTTTCTCAATTGTTTATGGATGACTACTCAAGAATATTGAGATTTATTGGAATTCTTTTGTCATGCCTTATTTTTATGTCCGAAATCCCTCATGAAATAATTTTATTTACTCTAGAATTGGTTTGATAATTTTCATGGTCTGTTATCAATCAATGTTCCATTTTTCATACTCAATACAATGAAAAACTATCAGAAGAAAGACATAAAAGGCCAATTTTCGGGTATTTTTAATGCCAGTCTTTAAAAAACGTGTGAAGTGTGTTCAATAATTGATTTTAAGTGAATTCTTAATTATTTTTTTAACCGTGCCTTGTAGATTCTTATAATAAAATATGACATCATTAAAAGTTATATTTCTGATAATATTCATCATATATTATGCAAATTGTGTAAGATATCGAAATAAAGATTGGAATTAAAAATGTGCTTCGTGTTAACTGGATTTTTTGGATGCGACTGTATTTGCAATTTAATTGGAATTGATGATATTTGAATGGAGAAAGTTGTGAATAATTCAGGATAAAATCGGACACTATTTGGATGTGAGGTTTTAAAATTTTCAAGTGTGGAGAAATTGGAATAATTTTTAAGTGCTCAATATTTTGAAATGTCTGTCAATCTGACACCAAAAATTAATAAAATGATTTTTTTTTCACACGCTGCATTTGAAAATCTCCAATTTTAATCTTTCCGATTAATTTGAAATTGAGTTTCTTTTACCTTAATTTAAAGTTACTAAAGTGTCGTTTTAATTGCTTGGTTAATTGCATTTTTGTCAGCAAGTAGGTTAATTTCCGAAAAAAGTCAGAATGACAAAAAATGTTAATTGAAAAAATTTTAATCTCAAAGATTAATAAGAAGTGTATGTGCAGCAATTTATTGCTTCCAATCACAGTTATCTATAAAATAAAATTCCAGCTTAATAAATTCTTGGATTTTCAGTCTTAATCCTGCTGTTTTACAAGATGTTAATTAGATATTATTTAATTAACTTGCTCATCTATCATAAATTTCCTTAATAGAACATATCGTGTAGTATTGATGACGGTGGAGTGTTCAATAGAGTTTGAATAGTGCTACATACGAATTTTAATAGGTTTATGACTCAACTGACGGTCGAATGCACATAAAACTTTTAACAAACTTGCTTAAAAATACAACTTTCTAATGATTATGTCACCAGTCGCATCCTAGAAATTTTCGAAGGGGGGTTTGAAATATTTTCAACTTCAGGACCCCCTTTTAACCCTTTCCTCCTAACCCTAAAATCAGTAATAAGCAATATAAATCCATTTTCCAGTCGTCAGCACCAACTTACTCAGCAAGTTTCTTTAGCAAATACATCGATCCAACATCAGCGGTGCTATCAATCGATACAGCGTATCAAGATTCTTGTGCCACAAGACAAGCTCCAGGTTAGAAAGCAAAAAAACAACAAAATCACGAGATAAAATTATGACATGACAAAAAACAAACAATGTTCTTGCAGGTTTTGTCTGTATGGACTGTAGAGTCTTAGCTCGATGCATTTTCCGAGGTAATCAATGGGATACTATTGCATTGGAGGCATGTGATGAAGGCCAAGGACTTTTTTGTAATCCAAACGAGCAAAGATGTTCAGCAAATACGGGTAATTTTTTTTCAGTCACTTCTGAGATTAAATGAATCACGATTATTTTATATTTGAAGGACCCTGTCATCCTGGAACTGGCGGTGGGGTTGAAACCATATTTGCTTGCTCATCATCTGGTATTTTCGTAAGTTTATTATCACAAATTACATCTATTGGTTAATATTATATTATAATTGATTTCCAGCCTGATCCATACAATTGTCAACAATATCATATGTGCTTCCCACATGGCCCTAATCTTCTCAGTGTCACAGTACTTTGTGGTGATAGTGTAGCATATAATCCAGTCACAAATGATTGTTCATTACCAACAACGCATAGCGTTTGTTCTGGAAACGTATTTACATGTGATTATGTTGGACAGATGGGAGCATGGCCATTAAATCCAAATATTTATTATATGTGTATGGCTCGCTCAAATGGAGTGAGAGTTCTATTTCCACAAATATTCCGATGTCCTTTGGGTCAAGTCTTCTCTAATGATGATTGTGTTCCTGGATCTAGTGGAGGACTTTTACCGCCAGGCAGTAATAATAATGATGGCTTCATTTGTCAACGTCCAGGTCTTTTCTTTGATCAATCAAATTGTCGATCATATTTCTTCTGTGACGGTAGTTTGAGATCTCAACGTATCATGTGTCCGACAGGGACTTACTTTAATCGAATGGTTAGTGGATGTGTTAGAGGAACTTGTGTATAACACAACTTATTTATCTATTGTACAAAAAATTTAGCAATAAGATTGAATTTAAATAAAAAATTTATAAAGTTAACAACTCATCGTTCCTAAAGCTTTAATTGTGCAAAAATCTCTTTTTATTTGCCTTAATGTAGTTGAGCAATATTGATGATATAACAAGCTTTAGCAAAAACTTACAAGAAAATTGTGGCACAAACCGTTCAATGGAGATAAGACTGAAAATTACAAAATCGAAAAAAAAATTACAACTGTCAGGAAAATTTTACATTACAGTGCCTGGTTTTTTAGTAACATCGTGTTTCAATGTGTCTTGTTTGCCGATAAGAAATAGATATCTTGCACATGCCCTCGCCACTGAAACTAATTTATTGATTTTTACGGCTGATGAACTTGAATTCAGTTTTACAGGCTTTGAATATTGTATTTTTTATTAAAGCTTTGGATTCTTGATAGGTTTAAAAGTCATCAAAATCCTACAGAAACCAATTTTCTAACTTAACGAAATTTTACTCAATATTTGCTTAAAGTTCCTGATTAAAATTATTGAAACTTGCTACAAATTGACAAAAATTAGCAGGAATTAAATTCCATATTTAATTATAAATGCTTAACTAGGCAAGCACGACAGATGATTTCAAGCTAATGAATCATTATTAAACATGATAATTATCATGCCATCAAAACAGTAATTACATTATGTTCCACATATTTAAAACAATTAATCAACACTACATCATCATTTGGTTTATATTTAACAATTTCCATTAGGGGCCGTTCACTTATTACGTTACGGAAAAAAACGACTTTTTTCACCCCCCCCCCCCCCCCCCCGAACGTTCATAATTTATTTTATTTTGAAAGATTTTATTTTAAAAGACAGACGACATTTAGAACGTTACATACTTCTTGACAGCCCCCCCCCCCCCCTTATGTTACATTTTGTTACAATTTTTTAAACCCCCCTTCCCCCTAAAATGCGAACGTAATAAGTGAACGGCCCCTTATCCGCAGTCACAATTTTTATTATGACAATAATAATGATTTTATGCTAATTTATAATTGAATTGTGGACATTTTTATTTATGTGAATAAATTTATGCACAATTTGCTCCTCCTGCATAAACTAAATTGATTAACGTAAAGTCATTCATATGCGAATTCATTTGCATTTCGCTAAATAAGATGTACGATAATCATTCATTTGAGTAGATAATTGATGGCAATTAACATAAAAGAATTTGAAAAATCAGAAATGCAAAAAAGGCTCTGACCAGAGCCAGAGCACATATATGAATAATGCTAATTATAGAGAGCAAAGCAACAAGAATAAATTCACATTTTGCGCATGAAAACCAACATTGATTTCAACTTCTATTCTAACAGCATAAAGTAATAAAGCTTTGAGTATGATCATACAGGAACAAAAAAAAAATAGAAGAGAGAAGGAAAAAGATGAGAGGCAAATAACCTTTCAAGGCCACTTGAAAAGAAAAAAAAAAGATATAAAGCTATGTTGCTGCCGATGCTTACTTACTCTCTCGACATTTTAGAAAATGAAAATAATAATAGCAATAGGATGGATAGAAATAAGTATTTGCGAGTAAAAGAAGAGAACTAAGAATAAAGCATAATAAGACCTTCTTCCCATATATTAGAGTCTTTTTTCTGTTCTATCTTAAAAGCACAGAAACTATGTGAAATTGTATTGATCATTAATTTTTCATTTTGAATCTATCGCACATTTTGCTTTTCAATTCTTACTTCTTCTTATTCTTCATATCTTCTCTTTGTGTATTGCCTGATATTTTTTTGCACAAAACATTCTGCTCAGAAGCAGCATCTGACAATACATTTCTATGGGTTGTAAAAAGTCAGTGAATAGCAACTAAAAGTAAATTGAAGCTTGATTCATACTTTTTCTGAGGAATTTTTTTGCACTTGTTTAAAGTTTTTAAAGAGAGTTTTCTTAAGCAGCAAGCTCAAAAATCATAATCAGATTTAAGGTATCAGTGCTTGTGAGAGTGACAAACTTTTATCGAGATGTTGGTTCGATTCCAAAAAGATCACGGACTCTCAATCATTTCATAGCGTCAGGAATGCACACAATGTTAACGATCTAGCCTAGCTTGCTTAAAATAACTTGAAATAGTTGATCCTGAATTATCTTTAAAGACTGAAACTTCAATAAAAGCTCGAGCTGTGTGAGGAGAAATACGTTACAGACTCAAACCGAGTAGTCATAATTTGTCCAAATAAAAGAATGTCTCTAAAGCCTTTTATCTAATCCAAACCTTTTTCTATTCAAGCTTCTAGCATTAAAGAATTCCACTTAAATTCCATTTCAGCCACAAATCCCCGATCATTTGTTAAAATGATTAATTTTCCCCTCAAGAATTTCTCGAAAATAATCTCAATACAGAAATCAAAACCACCTCAACATTATGTTGTCGATGAAAACTTTCGAGTGTGTAGCATCATATGATCATTGTTAATTTAAATTGATGGTTTTTTGCTCTGTTTATGTTTCCCATCTTTAGTTCATGCTGCATGTGCCGTTCTTTATTTCTCCCTGCACAGTGCATCTTAGTTCGCAGGCATTAAAAAAAATCCAGCGCAAAATTTATATCATTTGATGCACAATTTCCATACATAAAATAAAACTCGAGACTGTATTTTTTTTTGTTCTTAATAAAAAGAATATAAAGGTAGGCAGGCAAGTAAAATTTGCGATTCATCCTGCAAGGTAAGAATAACAATAATTGTTCTCATGCCCGTAAAATCATCGCATCACATGCTGTGTAATGTAATGTAATGCAATAGGCAATTCTTGCATAATGGACATTTTTTTTCTACTGCATAAATGTGAATTCCATTTTGTCATCAACGAATTGTGGAGATGAAGTGGAAAAGAAGGAGAGATTCCACTGATCCATAATTGATAGCAAAATGTTGCACATCAATTGTCAACTGTAATTAAATAAATTCTATGTCTTATAGCTAGGCATCGTATGGAATTGTATTGAAAATGTGATAAGAATCTTTCAAGCTTGCACACATCCACAAAAAAAATGGTGATAAAAATGCACACCGGCAAATTGGTGTCGCTTATTTCGCGTGAAAAAGTCAACACTACAAGGTAAAGCCTGCCTGCATCGAAACATATGTCAATCAACGGCTATGTCGTTCTTCAATATTTCTAAAACAAAACAGTTTAAAGGGAAATAAATGAAAGATTAAAAGTCAATGTGAGAAACATGCTTAATTGACTTTATGCTATGCGGCTTAGTCACATTACTTATTTACTATATCTGTTTTCTATGAAAGCGACGACAAAGTCGTGGTTAATTAATTAATATCCTCATCGATGCAGTAAATTGCATGAATCAGGTACGGTATCTAAATATTGAAAGAAAAAGTGACTCGTCTGCTGCCTTCGCTAATTGATTTACTATACCTAGGGCTATAAATGTCTTGAATTAAAATTCATTCTTTATTTCTTTTTTTTTTTTGCCAATCATCGAGATGAAAAATTTTTTATGTCATTTTAATAAACGAGTGTTTGTTTAGTGGATACGGATGGGCATTAATTTTCACAGGTTTAATGGAATCGATGAGTTGATGGCTTTTGCTTGCTTACTGGAGTTAACATATTGAAGTTTATTTTAAATGCAAAATTACAGAGGATATTAATTGCAGACAAGGCTATTGGAGCTGGATGAAACTTTAGGGATCGATCCTCACATATATACAAATCTGCCAGGCGTTAGAAAGGTGTCTAATCGGTCAAAACAACATATGGGCGATTAGGATCTCACTCTTCTGTAAGGACTTTAATTACAGACCCTGCAAGATTTCATTAATAAGAATCCTAATAAATCTTCAATCAATTCTAGCTACGATATCTATCATCAAGTCCTCAAGTATCTAATTTTGCCTATTCAACTATTACTTAATATGCTGATGACGCGCAAATATCTAAATTCATAGAACATCTAGCTAGACTTTCAATTTTCACATCATCAGCATGAACAATCAAAGACTATAATCAAATAGTAACAAAGAGTCAGCAGTCCAAATATTTATTGAGGGGTCATACATTATTTAAAGAAATCGATATTCGGTTCCTCTTTTCTGTATCATTAATTCAGACAATTTAATTAAATTCCAATCAAACATTTGCGGATAGAGAATAGCTCATTTTTGGTTTGCAAAGCAGAAATTAGAATATAATGAGAATTTCAACAAATCAAATCCTCATACGCACTTCGTAAAATTTAAATTTCATCCACAACCAAAATGAAATGCAGCTAATTGGATGGAATTAAATGATTTTTTTTTTGTTTATTTAACTTGAATTATTTATGTTCTGCTGCAATATTCTTTCAGATAAAATTTAACGTTTCGACCAGATCCAATTAGTAAAATTTATATACTGAAATAAAATATTGGCAAAATATAGAAAGGATAAGGGGGAAATAAATCAAGTTTTATTATTCCTTCTGCTAAAGGATGATGAGAATTTTTAATGTATTATGATTATATGAATTAGTGTGTTCTTTAAAGCCTCTTGGAGACTCTTTTGTGTGAATATATTTTACAAATAAATATTAGCAATCGTATATCATCACTTTGACACTTTATCATTTATTTTCGTCTCACATATTTGCTGTATTTTAAGAACTTTTGAGTCTACAGAGTTTTTGGTTTGACTGGGTTATGTTTAATTTAGATTTGATCTGAATTTGTCTAAAATTAATATGACTTTCTTTACAAACTTAGATTCAATTGAATCGATTAAAACTGAGTTAACACATTATAAAACATAGTCTAAAGATGAATCGTTGCTTTTCTACATCTGCTTAGTTCATCAACAAAGTCCACAAAACATTAAAATCACAATTTACACATTTTAAAAGTTCTCTGATCACTCATTATTTTCTCTAAGGTCGTTTCTACACAGATTCTTAGATCAATAACTCAGCTATAAATAATAATAAATGCGCCTTATTGCTATAAATATATCCGTAAACTTTGTACATATCTCGCACGTACGTATCTAAAAGTAATAAAAGAATTCCTTCATTTTAAACGG